CTCTTCCAGGTAGGATTCTTGCAAGAGACGCCTTGATGTGAAGGGAAGGGAAACACAGATCAGGGGCTAAAAATCAGAAGCTGAGTTTGAAAATAAGCCCAGGAAAACTCACAGTTTGAGGAGTTGTGCTTTGCTGGCAGGACAAGGTTCAGATCACTTCTGGTTTCTTCTTCACTGTGCCTGTGAAGGATAGAAAAATCAAGAGAGGAAGTAGGGGTGGACAGGAGCTGTATCATTCCTGATGGAGGCTTGCCTCTTCTTGCCCTGTACCTGTACAGGGGACAAGACCTTTTGTCATCAGATCTCCAAGTTCCGAGTTAATGTGGCATCGCTCTCTTCCTTTGCAGACCCATGAGAATCGTGAGCATCTTGTCATGATGGAAAAAATCCTCGGGCCGCTTCCATCTCACATGATCCACAAAACTCGGTAGGAACCTCTTCCTGAACTCGGGCCAGTCAATTATTTGTGGTTAATTACTCAGGATACCCATTCTCTGTCTTCCTGATGCGCTGGAAGTATGTCCCACAAGTAGCCTTACGCAACGCCGCCTCTCCTTTGCAGGAAGCAAAAATATTTCCACAATGGGAACCTGGTCTGGGATGAGAACACGTCCGACGGCAGATATGTCCAAGAGAACTGCAAGCCCCTGCGGGTAGGTGCTGCCCTGCGGCTGGGGGAAGAAGTGAGCCCCCCCCGCCATGCCGTTCTGTTCTCCAGATCAGCAGTGCGGGGCTTAGGGATGGGAATTTCCTTTAGCAACTGGCTTTTACAGAGCCGCTAACCAGAAGTTTGCTGGTCTGGCTGAAGCAGGAATTGGAGGGACCCTGTACTTCAGGATGGGAGGCAGCCATTGCCTCACTGTACATCACAGAACTAGGGCCCAGGGTTCTGTCCCTGTCCTAGTGGAGCCCTACACCCCTCTCCCTCTCCCCCCTGCCCTTCTCTTTCAGACATACATGCTGCACGACTCGCTGGAGCACGCACAGCTCTTTGACTTGATGAGGAGGATGTTAGAATTCGACCCTTCCCGGAGGATCACGTTTTCGGAAGCCCTCCTGCATCCTTTCTTTGCTGGCCTCTCTGCAGAGGAAAGGATGCTGTGCGGGCGAGGCGCCAGCCGGGACCTAAGCAGATGACGGCTGGGGAGGGTGCGATGCCTGCTGGATTTGTACATACAGGATTGGTCTGGCCTCTGCCGTTCTTCTCTCAGAGTTCAGAGGGGCTGGGGCACTGCAGTGAGGACCCTGGGCAGGGGAGGGGAAGAAGAGCTACAATGGAAAGCACAGATTTGTCTATTTATATGTTGTAAAGTTAAAATAAAGTGTTTCTTATTGTTTGATACTTCCCTTGTAGGCAGGTGTAGGGTTCTCTTGCTCCCAGCTTTGTCTTTTCTGCAAAGGAAGATGGAGATGTTGAAAAATTAACTGGAAGCTAAAATATCTGCTTCACTGGAGGGTGAAAAGCGAGGGTGAGTGGCCTGAACTGTCCCTGGTCTCTGCCCTTGCTCCTCTGACCAGTGCAGCGCAGCAGGAAGGCTTGCTCCAGCGTCAGGCTCTAGAAGGATAACGGACAAGTAAATAGCTGCACACAAATAGCACACATGAATAGTTGCACTTTATTTCAGGGCATCCCCCAGCAGCGGCAGGAATTAGTCGTTACAAATGTTAGGTCACAAATGGAATATCAAGCAGTGACGTAGTACAGTGATCTTCACATGTTAGTGACCAGAGCAGCACTCATGGGCAGTTCCTATGATGGTGGTTAAGGTTGTGGGTAGAAACTATCATCTCAAATGCAGATTAAAAAAAAAAAAAAAAAAAAAAAAAGTGTTCCGTTCTTTGAATTAACTCTGGCAGCATGGGGGAAAGGGGAGAAGAAGGGCCCCAGAACCCTTCCTGGGTCTCTTGAGTGCTCCAGAACACACATTTCACAGGGGCGAGGCCAGTACTTCCTCAAGTAAGCCTTTGTAGCTGAGGGAAAGCACAGCCAAATACCCAAAGCTACTCTCAGCTCCAGAAAGTGAGCACACTGTACAGCTTTAACTCTGCCAAATGCAGCCCAGAGCTGCCCTGCTGTACCCTAAACACTCTGCACAGGTAGGGATTGGGAATCCCTTGCCTTACATCAGGGTTTGTACGCTCAGCAACACTGCTCCCTTTTTTCTTTTTTTTTTTATTTTACTTAAACGTGGGGACCCTGTTGCTGCACAGCTGGCAAGGCGCAGGGCTTTAGTGCTACCCCGAGCTGTGCAGCAGCGTACAGACCTGATCCCAGCTGCCATCCCCCCCCCAAAAAAGCCCCATCTTTACCCAGTTCATGTAACTTCAGCCAGTGGCACAAGCAGCGTAGAGGCAGGAAAGGACCCTGTGATGAAGCCTGGAGTATTTCTACACTGTTACTGCTTGGTGCATACAACCTACAAGTTTAACAGCCAGAAGAGGTGAGAACAAGCCTCTAGCTTGGTTCAAGGAAAGCAGGAATTGAAACAGCAGGTGCTCTTACTGAGTGTCTTGAGCAAGGAAAGTGAAAATAAGGGGGCTAAAGCTAACACTGTACTACAGCACTGACCAGGGGACAGGTGTCCACCTTTTTAACCCAGCCGCTGCTCGCTCCTCTGCCTGGCTAAAGATGAGATGAAGCTGAAACAGCGGAAGAAACAAGAAAGGCAGAGGGAAGCCTCACATTTGTGTTTTAAATAACCAACTGTATTGCTATCCTTTCCCAGCACAGGCAAGTCTGAACCACAGCTTGTTAAATGCCACCACAGTTCTAGCTGAAACAGGGTTCACCTGAGGGATAGGGACCTCAGGGGAACCACACCAGGGCAGAGCTACCCCCTCCCCATCACAGCACCAAGTCACCCAGCCTCCCCCTGCGAGCGCCAAGGCCACTGCACATAGGTTCGGTTCAGCCATCCAACCCTCAGCAGGGAGAGAAGCTCCGGGGATCCAGCTGCCGAGAGGGGCAGAGCCCTTCCTCCTGCTGAGGTAGATAGGGCAAGGTGGGAGGAGACCTCAGGGAGCTGCAGGAGCAAGCCCGGCCCTCTGCAGCCTCCTGCCCTTAGGGGCTGGGTCTTCCCCCATCACTCTGCACTTGCAGGCAATATTACTCCCTCAATTGCTTCTTTTCAACTGGGGAAGTCTCTTCCCTCCTCCTTTGATCCTCCTTAGAACGAAGGCCGAGTGTCCGGTCTGTAAATCCTCACCACTCAGAGCACAAGTGGGTCAATAGGTCTGCTACCTGCTCAGCGGAGCACAGCAACAGAGCAGCTACAACAGCAGGTGACCATTTCCATAGATCCCTGCACTTCAGCCTCAGAAGGGATCCAGTTCCCCTGGAGAAAAGGCACCATTTGAAGCTCTGAAGCTCTCCCAGCTGCCAGAACAGGGTCTGTGCAAGGTTTAGGCACCCGCAGGAGCTCTGAGGACAGGGAAGGTACCAGGAGAGCAGCAGAGCTTCAAGCATCGTGAGCAAGGAGGGAGCTGAGTGCCCCTTTGCGAGAACAGGGCCCCCCTTGCCTTGCGTCTGCCTGGTTCCTCTAAAGGAACAGCTCGGCCTTGCAGCACCTCCTACATCACTCCAGCACTTCCCTGGGTCAGCTGCCAGGTGCAAGCATTCAGAGAGCATACACAGAGCCAGATAGCTGTGGGTTTCTCAGCTCGTCCCTGCTCTAGGCACTGCACCAAGGCTCTATCGGGCCAGCAAAATGAATGCAAGAAAAGATAACCCAACCCTTGCTGGCAGTGCACGGGAGGCAAGCGCAGCACAAGAGCAGTTAGGGGAGCAAGCCGGGGCAGATCCCCCATGGTAACTCAGATGAGAACCTCCTGCTGTACCCCTACAGGAGGGCAGCAGCTCTCACCACCCCATCTCCCACAGGCAAACAGGACCCTGTAAGCAGAGGACCCAAATCCTTCCCCAAGCTGGTTCCCAGCACATGGGCACACACACATGCAAGCCTAGCCCACACACAGGCTTTTCAAGCCCAAAGGGAACGCACGGATCAGTGACCTACTTCCCAAACCATGCCAAGTGTAGGAGGGATTCTGGAAGCACTGGGGGAACTCCCCCAAACATCAACTGCACAATATACCACGCGACAAACTCCAAGTGACGCTGCCCTGCTTCACTATCCTTTCCTGATTCAGCTACTCACTGTACTGGAAATAAGAGAGAAAGGAAAAAAAAAAACCCCACAATAACTATCCTGGAAAAGTTCTTTTCCAAAACATGCCTCGCTCCCATAGACCTAGGCTTCACCCACTAAGCGAACAAACAAAAAGCCAAGAGTATATAAGCAAGTAAGGCCTAGCTGAGGACATCGGTGTTCCCAGAGCATGTGCAACCTGAGAGCTACTGGCTCCTGACACAAGCTTTCCAAAGAGGGAACGCTCTCCTCGAGGGGCTGGAGGGTCCAGGAGGGAGAGCGAGCTACAACTGCCTTCAGGAAGGAAAAACAGGGGAGAGGAGAGTCAAAAAGAACAACGGAACGAAACCAAATCCTCCCTCCCAGTACAACTGCAACAGAAGGTATTTCTACACAATGAAGGTGTGCTGTTCCCACCAGGCACCCTTGCTGGGTCTATCCGCCCAGAAGGACCAAGAAACGCATCTCCAGGCTCCAAACCATCCACCACTTGTACAACCTCCGTGTACACTCCCTCCTTAAACAGCCTCCCGGCTGGGCCTGACAACGGCCACCTTCGCCGGGGACAGACACCATCTTCCTGTGTGTTCCTTCATACAATGGCACAAGAGAATGAAAACTGCTTTGCAGGAACATTAGATTCCTTCTTTTTTTGTCTCATTTTATGATTATTCTTTTTTTTTTTTGTTAAATACACAATGTTTCTTCTGGAAGGAAAACTCTCCAGAACTTCACATCCTTAAGGCGTCACGAAGTTACGAGTCAGGATCCACTGGACAGCTTATTCGACAGACCTCCTCCTCCTCTCTTCTCTCCCTTCAGAGCCACGTGGGCTGGATGGGCTCTAAGTGGAATGCAGAGGGATGACGAATTTGCAGCCGAAGGGCGAGTGGTAGTTTATTCCCACTTCCTGAAAGACCTTCTGGGGAATGCCAATGTCACAGAGGTACACACGCCCTGCCCTCTCACCCAGGGGCAGGGGCAGACCCAAGGCCAGCGACCACTTGGCATCGATGCCCTGCTCCATTTCGTTTATCGGAGGGTCTATGCTGAGGATGGGGGCCCGGTTTTGGTTGGCCCAGTCCACAACCGCTTTGTACCAAGGCTGATCTCTCAAAAAGGCATTTTCATGACAATCCAGGCAGTTGATCACTAGGTCAACAGGGGTATCTGGGAGATCTGAAAGAAACACAAACACCATTGAGTGCTGAGGACCAACCTGAAACCACGAACTAAGGCTCAGGGCCTTCCCTCCTTGCACTGCCAGCAGGTTTTTCACTTTTGCCTCCAGCACACACAGTCTCACTGCATACGGTCAGGCCTTACATGTTGTTATAGCCATCCTTCTGCAAAAGACACCAACACTGATATTTAAAAGCCCTTTAGCACTCTGGAGAACGTTTACAGACTCTCAGGTACAAAACCTCATCAAGTGGTCAACACTTGAGCAGCCCCAGCTGCTGCCGCTGAGCTGGCTCACCAGTCCAGACAGTGCAGGGAAGCAGTGGTGCTTGCTCTCCATTATAAAAGGACCATTTTATATTCCGCAAGCTGAAAAAAAGGCCTGTTTTTACAGAACGCGCCGACTACCTCTGCCACAGAAAGGCAACTTGTGTGCTGCACTGCTGCCTGCCTCACAGAGCTCCGTCGGGTCTCACTGCACTCACCCACACTGTGCCACATCCCTGCATTCTGCTTACCCAATGCACCACGAAGTCCTTAGTGCAAAATCTTATAAAAGATTGTAAAACAGGCAAGTAGCTCAGCCAGCACAGCGCAGCTCCCTGCCACAACACAAAACATTGCGCAGTGCCCTAATCCCCAGGTTTGTTTCTCCCAGGAAGTTTAAATGAAAGAGGTTTGAAAATACTGCTGGTGAAATGACAAAACAGAAGCCAGCGCTCTCACAGAAGATGGAGCATGGGTTTATTCTAGGGCAAAGGAAGAGATCTGGATTTTGACAGCTGCTGGGGCTAGTTCAGCAAAGCTGCCTGCTGGGTTTGAAGCAGCAGTTGGATGCTCATGTGCTTGCAGATTCAATAGGCTGAACAAGGCAGGCCCTGATCCTAAGAGAACGCCTGGTCTGACTCAGATCCATACAGCAGCTCTTCCCTATTTGTTCATACAGGAAACATCTGCGCCAAGCACAGCTGCTCCACTGTTGAACCTCTCAAGTCTCCCACCAGCCACCTGCCTGCGGCAGTGCCACTAGATGGTGCCACCGGACCAGGCAGGCAGCGGGGGAGCTGAGCGGCACAGGTCTCTTCGAGGCACCAGGAGAGCAGATCTGCTCCTCGCTGCCTTACCTTTGACGCTGGAGACCTGCTGACCTTGCGTCTTGCTGAAAAGGTTCAGCTCGTTGGTGATGGATTCCAGCATCTTGACAAAGTTGGGTAGGAAAAGGATGACGTGGACGTCATGGTTGGAGAGGTGCCGTCCGCAGCTGATCCCCTGGGCCCCCTTCACGTGGGGGCCGCACAGCAGGGCTACCGTGGGCCGCTGATGCACGTTCTTTGGGTTTAGCCTAAAATGCAGACAAAAGGGGACTTAATAAACCCAAGAATCTCTGACCTTCTTCCTGTAAGAGGAAGAAAAATCAGTAAAATGCAAATTTACAGGTGTTTTGCAAATCTTCCGTTGCCTCCGAGAAGGAACCCACATCCTTTGGTAGTGCTGACACTACAGAGCTGCTCTGCTTGAAGGTTCCCTTCGAGACTTCCTTGCACCCACAGCAGAGAACACAGGGTCCCAGTCTGTCCCAGTTCATCAGGAAGCCAACTTGTACTTTCAAAGCAGGGGGACATTTTCACTGGTCATGTAGCAAGCCTGAATCCCAATGCAATTATGCTTTTAGGAGGCTTTTTTTTCTCCCCTCGGTCCCTCTGATTTTAGAAGAATGCTAACCATACATTCATAAAAAATATGGGGTCATTTACTCCATCAGCAGAGCCACAGTTAAAAAAAAGGAAGAAAAATAATTTCTACTCCCCCAGCCTCGTCAACTGCAAAATTGATTTATTTAAATGGCCTGCAAGCCGTCAAGGGTGGCTTGCAGGAAGATTTTCAGCTGATAGGGTCAGTGCTGCTGTCATCACTCACTGCTCTCAATCAAACGATTGAGTCCTGGTTAAGTACTACCAAATAAATGGATGGAGACTTAAGGTCTACCTTCCATTTCAAGAAGGTACACACCAACAACTCTGGTCAGTGCAGGTGCAGAGGCAACCTCTTCAAATACATTCCTGCAGAGAGCAGTAAGTGCGCTCCAAACCGGCTATCAAATTGGGCCCTCCAGAAAAGCAGGATATTCTCAGTTTAGGTGTAGATGCCTGAAAGCTAGTTTAGCACTGTGAAAAGCTAAGCAACACTTTTTTATCCACAGGCTGACTTTTGGTTTTATTGATACCATTAAACAGGTATGTTCAGCCAGCCCTTTTTTTATAAAGACTAGAGAGAGGGAGGGAAAAGCAGCACGAACATAGAAACCTACTGTAAGGCTTCCTCTCACTTCAGGAGCCTGAGCCTCACATTTGTTTTCACAATTATTTGGAAACAGGCTGATTCATGAGCTACAGAACAGGTCTGCACGGCATCGGGATGAGTTCTTTTTCTTTTAGAGGTGAGGAAGGCAGAGAGGTGACAGCTGCCTCCAGCTGCAGGACTGCCGAGGGACTAGGGCCAGTGGCAGTTACATTCACCTCGTCCACATTACATTCACCTCAAAAGGAACCTCTCAGCCTCTTTCACCTCAACCCAACTTAGCAGAACAAGATCAGCTGGGCTCTTCTCAGAGGGGGCAAACCCACATCAGAGTGAAAGGGAAGAGCTTTACCTGTTGGGTCCCCCAAGGAGGCTGAGGGCCATCTGACTCGCACACACTCCCGTCATCTCCAGCCTCCGCTCCAGAGTCAGCCCGTGCTTCTCAGCCACAGAGAGCAGCTTTTTGTGAAGCTCATAAGACACGCTTGGAACGACCAGCCCGGAGTCTAGGGTTCAAAGAGAGCAGATGGAGGAAGACAGAAATGGGTACAAGCAGAGACTTTTTCAGTATACTGCAGTCTGGGAAGGTTTTATAGGACGGCACATTAGAAATGATGACAGTGAAAAGGCTTATGCACTGTTACCAAGGGTCTGCTTAACGCAGTAAACCAGGTTCTTTCCAAGACCATCAAATGAATCCAAACTGGTGCATCAGAGTCAGCTTACTCTGAGTCAAGCACTGACAGTTAAACACAACTGGCAGCTGGCAATTTTAGCAACACATGGACTGAGAGTGTCTTTTTGACTTATGGATTGATTATTAAGTTCTTTCTTAATTGTGTCTGGCCAGCAGTGCTTTAACCCACACCCATACCCAAACACATATAAGTGTTCCTTGTCACTGTCAAAGTCAGAAGAGGAGCCATGAGGCAGATTTCCCACCGAAAAAGCTTGGATGCATTACGCTTCCTGACATCATTAGCGACCAGCCCCAAATTTCCAGCCCCTAACCCATGTATCACAGCAAAACCAGACATCCCAACATTTACTAGGCAGGAGTCCCCACCACCTGAGCTGTGCCATGCCAGAAGGGCTGGCTTCAGCCACAAAAGCTGAATCACAATACACTGAGGCAGCAGGGGAATGATGGCGCTGGAAGAATGAAGTCTGTAGAAAAATACTTCTCAGACGTTTTTAACAGCCTGGTCTGCAAGCCAGGAAACGCTCCAGCATGTGGATCAAGGGAAAACAAACAAGAGAGGTTTTGTTAAGTGCAAAGAACAGCGTCTGCAGTAGGAAGCAATGCAGTCCTTCCCACTCGCTTCTACAGCAAACTGGCATGGAATCAGCAGGCAAGAGAAACACAAACCTGAGTAACTGTTCTGGCCTATTCTTTACACTTTCCTTCTGCAAGCAGGCCAAGCTGGCACTGACTTCGCAGAAATACACTCTGCAGTAACATCTGTAAACCCTCCTGGAAATACATACAGAGGATTCCTTGCCACCAAAAGGCAACTTGCCCTCAGGGGAGCACCAGCAATTTTTTGGTGCTGTGTTGAATAGTGGAGGACAAGGAAACTGAAAATAATTACTTATG